TTCATTCTAAGTGGAACGGCTTTTTCGGAACATGTAAGAAAGCAATTCTCAATGATATGACCAGTCTTGAAACACAAAGTGCATTTTAGTTAATAAAGGGGTCGCTGACACATTTTTTCCGCCGTCTCGTTTTTTGTTGACATAGTTCGGTTGTTGGCAGTGTTGTTTATGGCCCTTCTTTTCGCACCGAAAGCATTTTAACTCAATAGGACCAGGCTGGGACTGACTCACTCCCGAGACTTCCTTCCTGGCGCTAACGCTAATATGCTATAAAGCGCCTAGAAGACTATGAAAAGTCTGTTAGTGCAGAAGATTTTAAACATTTTCTGGGTAGTTTAAAAAGATTCTTATTATAAAAGTTGTCGGTCAAAGTTCATTACTCAGCGGTCAAAGTCCATAACCCCGTTTTTCAAACGACAAAGGTTGCCGAACGGGTCAAAGTCCATTCATCGCCATTTAAAGTCACATTCTATTGATAAGATTATCAGAGGTCAATGATCCTATTTGTTACGGCGAACTTTCAAGGTCGTTGCGGGTCTTTTCTAGAACTGGCCAATCCCGCCTACTTTTAGGAGGGCGTAGGAGGACGCTATTAACATCTGCAGAAGCAAGATATACAGTTGTACTGAGAAGTCCATAAGGGACCCTGAACATTCTGAACATAGAAATGGTTTAACCTCCAAAATTAGTGAGTCTTGTATAGTGCTTCTTCGAAGTTCTTTTTCAAACTAAGCGCCCATAGGAAGGTCTGAAGTGAAACAGTCTAAAAATCACCTTAATGGTTAAGTAGTTTACAGAGTTTCCTTGAATATTTTTCTAGAGCTTTTCAGGTCCTTTAGAACGTTCTTTTCTAAACCTATACCAGAGCTTTGTAGGTCTGTTCTAGAACCGATTGGTCTCTTTTACTTTTGGAAAAATTCTAGGAGCTTCGAAAAGGGCTTGCGAAACACCTAACGGCTAAACTCTTGAGAAGGCTTGAAAGGGGACACAAAAATTCTCTGGAGAAGTGCCACAAACCTGTTACCTAAGGCTGTGGAAAGCCTTTTTGACTGCTCTGGAAAACACCTAAAGCTACTTTCAGAGATTTCTAAGTGCTGGGAATGCTTAGAAAACCCATGGAAAATGATTTGAAATGTTATGAAAAAATTGCACTGCGCAATCCCGCAAATACCGGGATCCCGCGGGATTAACATCTAACGATCCCGCAAATA